TGACACTATAACCCGATGTTACCGGTTTACCCGATTCCTTGTCAATTACGGTCGAGTGAAACAGCATCGTTGACATATCTATGTGGCTTTAATATGGTAGCTGCTCATTCGGGGACTGATCACCATTATTTAATCCGCCTATTGACTCTTTTAAGATAATATATTCACTAAATTCTTCCCTTTCTCTCCTTTTATCTATGTATTTCCAGAAAAAATATTCTGCCTCTTCACCCCGTTACGACAGCTTTGAACTCAGTCATGATTGCCCTATTTATACGCCCGCATTCCGTATAGCTAAATGACGCCACCTATTGATTTTGATGCATGTGCCGAGCCCCAGGGGCAGAGCCACGCTCAATTTTGGTGTTGATCTTATACAGACCGCAATTCTGAATGGATCAGCTTGGAACTTGGCATATGTATTACTTATCGCCTAATGGCGGCAACTATTGATTTTGGTGCATGTCCTGGGAACTTAGTATAGTTATTCCTTATACCCTAAGGACGGTAACTATTGATTTTGGTGCATGAACCCCACCTCCTTTTGGGTGATGCCATACCCAATTTTTGTTAATATTTTGTCTATAAATGATATACAGGTTGCAATTATTAACAGATTTGGATTTATATCTTTTCATATCCAACCCCCAGGGGCAGAGCCATGCCCATTTTTTGGTGATTATCGTCTACAGGCTGCCATTCGGAATGGATCATCTTGGTACTTTGGATATTTATTCCTTATACCGTGAAGACTGCCTTCTTTGCCTCTTGTCACATTACAGTCACTGCAGTCATTTCATAATAGTGTTAGCGATGCTTTTGTCCACTTTATTTGGTGTCCCGTAAAGAGGCAAGCCATTGGAATTAATTTGGTGGTATGCACCCATTCTCCCTTAGTTGTCTTTCCGTGTTCGAAACAACATGGTAGAATGATGGTAGCTGATGCGCTTGAGTCACTTGAATCCATTTTAGGTTAGACCCCATACCCCCATGAAAATAGATATACATATAGGTCCGAAAACCATCGTAGCTTGCGATGCATCGCAGAAACGCATTCTTTATTTACAACTCCATGGATAGGTCACAAATTAAATGATTATAGTAGCTTCAAATAGAAGGAGAGGAAGAATAACTTTTAAAAAAAGTAAATAAAAAAATCTTAATTAGCATCTAATAAACGCATGCAGTCCTTGTTAATGAAAATGTTTACTGAACAAATATTATTAACTTAAAGCATGTTATTATTTCAAGCGTGGTCATCGCGGATACCTTCATATTAAGATGACTGTTCTTTGTTTCATCCTTTATTGGATCACGATCTGAAACATGCTGTGATCGTGTATACGTTATCAGTTTACAGATTACATTGCGTACTATCTGTCACTCCAATCTATCAAAATCGTGAGATTACGACGGAAATTAACCGAGGTTGTTCAGAATGTTGTTGTTTGTTTAGAACAATTTATTGAGAAAATCTCAGTATAAATAAAGGTAGCATTATAAGGACATAACGCGAATGCTTTGACAATAGATAATAAAAGTTATGTAAGTAGTGAATTATAATACATTCTAATTAAAGGTTTTCGTGCTAACCGTATGCGGTATTATGTATTCGAGTATACCCTAAACCCGGGACGTCGTTACGCAGGGGCATGCTGAACAGTTTGCCGGGGGCCCCTGAGCATAGGATGGGTTGGGCATCTTGCCGTACAGCATATCTTTCAATTGAAGAAATATATGTTTCTCGACAATTTACTTTTTTATTCATGTGCGTGGTTTGCCCGGGGGACTTATAATGCTTTTTTTAGACTCCAATACCCTCAACTGATTAATTTGACGAGATTTCAATGAAAAGTAAGGGGATTTTTCTTTCAATATTCGAAACAATTGACATGTATTCAATGAAATTTTGACATTTCACGATTTAAATGTGACTGAAAATAAGTCACGCTGAGACATTAACAACAGAAAAGAAAATGTGATAAAATGACTTCATAATTAGATAACATTTTGACGGATGATTAACTTTGTTCAAAAATATAGCTAAAAATTGTCCATTTCATTGATTTATTATGTTGATTTGTTTAATGGGATGTCAGCCGAGTTGGATGGCCGAATGGTTAGCGCGAGCGCTCTGCATCATAAGGCCTGTCATTGAGTCAACTGGCTTGGTTTCGATTACCCGGTTGTACGTGACAAGGAGTAGGGTCGCCTGTCCAACCTCGTGGGTGTTATCCGGGTCTTCCGGTTTCCTCGTCCAACCTCGTGGGTGCTATCCGGGTCTTCCGGTTTCTTCCCATTGCTAAAGACCCCTACGCGCTTTGAGATAAAATTGGACCATATGTTAGTCCCGAAATGACCTAGTTTGTGTCGAGTGGACGGTGAACCCCATCTCTCTCTCTCCCTCTCTCTCTTAATGGAGTGTCAATCTGTAAAGAAAAGGCTAGTGGTGAAATATATCCGATTTTGTGTTACATCATCGACACAGATTTCGGCATGATCTTTCAAATCGAAACAAGGACAACTATTTGGTTTCCAGCGAGTTTCATAAAGTTGCTGTCACGTACAGCTGAGAAATTGAGTATACGACACCTGTGGAGTCGATATATCACAAACCATATTGTCTGGTTAATAATTAACACATGATTAATAAAAAGTTGCTCAATCAATTCAATTGCAATTAATCTTGAGAATAATCACTGATATACATTGCGTAACATAATATTCCCAATCTAAAGACATTGGTCTATGTGTGTAAACACCAAGTCTAATCTACAGTCCTTTGATCTATTTTTATTACAAATATAATTTTATTATATACTATCTATTAGTATAATACAAGTTATTATTCTATTATTACAAGTATAATATGCATGTTGTTAATCTATTATTAAAAGTATAATATACAAGCTATTGGTCTATTATTACAAGTATAATATACAAGCTATTGGTCTATTTTTACAAGTATAATATACAAGCTATTGGTCTGTTATTACAAGTATAATATATAAGCTATTTTCCGGTGTGAATTACATCTGTAAGCATATCTGAATGGTCTGTTTTCAATTAACTACCCTAAACTTTAACAACCTGAACTACATTTTCATCTCAAATTTCTATAATCTTAAAGATGCATTATGTGAGAGCAAAATCTGCCTATTGCAAATCTTTTTTCTGGCTTCAGCTGTTATATACATTATTATTTTTTGGAAAAAATATTATAATGACTAAAATGTTCAATATGCTGATTTTTTATTCTCTAGTTTGGAACTATTATATCAACAACGGCAGCTTTCATCTAATTATTACATAATACTTCTTTATCATTGAGTATGTCTGGCGTTAAGGATGTCCAGTAATCTGTTTTTAAATTCTAAAATTTATAAAAACAACTTACTGAAAACAACAAGAACGTACATCGTTGATTATTCTCACGATTAATTGAAATTACATTGATTTAACATTTGTCAAACGAGACGATGTTTGTTATATCGGCATTGCAAGTAATTTAATATAGTAGGTCTTTAATACCTACAAAATTACCCTAGCACACAAAATTGATTGATTCAAGATTGCAGCACATATTTTATATTTTGACATATCTCCATTAATATTCATCATTTTTGGCTGTGTTATTTAAACATACATTATGCAAGAGCTAAATCTGCCTATTGCAAGTCTTTCTTTAGGCCTGAAATCTTATCTAAACTATTAATTAGACATTTATTAACAAAACAAGACCATAATCAACTCTCGATGGCATCGGATACTCGAGATTTTAACTAGATTAGAACGGTTCACCATTAAAAAAAGTTAATTTATAAATGGGAAAGCTAGGCAAGTCTCGAATATACCAGTGCCCTGGTTACCACAATGCACACATCTTTTCAAAACCACAAACAGTGATAACTTGGCCCAGAATGAAGTAATTTGAATGAAATTTTCAATATATCCACATTACATTTTTCTATTTTTGAGCTAATATAGCAAGAACTGCCAATTCTTTATGTAAATCTTGCATAATGTATCTTTAACAAACATGGACCTTTATACTACTAATTCATGTCAGTATATTGATTTGGTATCTTGGTCTTTTTTGTGATTGTATCTGTGTGTTTGATAAATAACTTATCTACTATACGCTTTAGTTTCTCCTTGTCGGTATTACGTCGTTTGGTCAAAATTTTAGTTATTTCTAATTTTGTTATCATTTTGCAATAATTTGGGCGCTATTGTCGAAACGCTCTTGTCTATTCTTGTCGGTAATTAGTAATACCACTCCTACAGTGATTGTCATATTGAGCTCATTGATGTAATGCAACTATTCACAAAGTGTTCTGAATACAATCCAATAGGTTGTCGTTCTCTAAATCATTGACGAATCTTATCTCTGATTAGTCTAAGCATAAATGCTTATCAACATTCACCGTATAAACATGTACACCAAGTTTGAACATCCCCCACCCCATTAGAAGCAGATTTGTTATGCTCTAAAAGGTGTGATAGACAAATGGATGCTGTGTTTTATGGATGCTATATTTTATAAAATATATGGCTATTGCACTCCTTCTAATAACATTAACAAAGATTAATGGCCGATATATATTTCCATAATTTTCATTTAACAGTCCTGCTTGTAGAATCTGGGATACCACATTACCTTCTTTCTATACATATACCATAGGCGTCAAATATGTATTGAATATCGTGAAGAATTTTGTTCACAATTCTTTTCAGTATTCAATGTTTTGTGAATCTTCGTTGTGACCTTGTAAATAGTGAAACATTTAATACAGTGAATAAGAGCTTTCGTGAAATTTGCGCTTCGGCAAATGTGTAGGATTTTATGTTAAACAAGACACTTTAATGTTATAGTACCCGGCCTTATTAAATGTCATTAAAGATAAAATCTAGGAAAGAAGTAATGAAATTTCCACGTTTCGGGTTAATTTCTTTCCTTTGTGATTTATTACATCTTATTATCTGTTTTTGTCTTGCAGCAGATTCAGTAAGTGACTAAAGATATATCTGGTGGGAACAACATTCAAGGATATTTCATTGTTGATCCACAATTTTAAGAAAAAAAGGCAAACGATTGGTGAGTATCTTTTGTTGTGGAAGGATCTTTTGGATATTTTGGATGCATTACAACCCTGAACTATCTCAAAGAACTGTGTCCAAATCACAGCAAAGGCGAAGTAGATAATATCCCATACAATACAACTTGTCATATGGGATTGCTATTGGGCTTACTAAACGATTAGTGGCTGTTACACGTTCATTTAAAAATGATATCTTTATTTTGATTACTGTGGATTTCTATTTAATTACTGTTGACCCAGTTCTGATTTCAAGCAATCGAAATAAAGCACAGATCCATTTCGTTTCTTTATTTATAGTTCAAAATTTCGTTTTATTTGTCTTCACTTCATGTAGTGGGTCCTATCGAAAGTATTAAAAAAAACGAAACGAAATATAGATCTGTATTTTAATCAGATTAAATTTAAAATCGCTGATCAGTCGAATGAAATTTCGATCCCATGCAAAGTAAAATATTTTTGAAAGTTGAATCTCTAAAATTAATATCAGACCGTTTAGTATGCAGAAAGATATTCGGCATCCCTTGCAGATGCTATACACAAGGGCGCAATTCTTACTGGATTTTCTTTAAACTTTGTATACTTATTCCTTATACCCTATGGATGATCCCTATTCATACTGGATTTTCTTCAAACTTTGTATACTTATTCCGTACACCCTATGGATGATCCCTATTCATACTAGATTTTCTTCAAACGTTGTATACTTATTCCTTATACCTTAGGGATGATCCCTATTGTTTTTGGTGCATGCCCGACCCCCAAGTGAAGAGCCACGCCCATTTCTTGTATTTGTTTGTTTGTCTTCTACAGGACTTATTTATTAACATATATTGAAACTTTGCATACTTTTTCTTTGTACCCTAAGGAACACCCCTATCGTTTGGGGTGCATGCTCAACCCCCAGGTGCAGAGACACGCCCATTTTCTTTTTGTGTGTCTGTGTCTCGCCCACAGGCCACAATTCTTAATCGATCGTCTTGAAACATTTTCATATGATCGAATTCCTTATACCCTAAGGATGATCCCTATTGGTTTTGGTGCATGCCCGACCCCAGTGGCAGAGCCACGTCCATTTCTTGTATTTATTTGTTTGTCATCTACAGACTGAATTTCTTAACGTATTACCTTGAAACTTTGCATACTTATTCCTTCTATCCTAAATATTGTTTGTGGTGAATGCCCAACCCCCAGGGGCAGAGCCACGCCCATTTTCTTTCTGTGTATCTGTGTGTCACTTAAAGCCTGCAATTCTTAATCGATCGTCTTAGAAAACTTTTTTATACTTCTTCCTTTTATTCTAAGGCTGATCTCTTATTTTTTTTGGTGCATGTCCGACCCCCTGGAACAGAGCCACGCCCAATGTTTGTGTGTCTTGTGTTTCGCCTACCGGCCGCAATTAACAGATCCTTTTGAAACTTTGCATACATATTCCTTATACCGTAAGTATGACGTCTATTGTTTTTGGTGATTGCTCAATCCCCAGGGGCAGAGCCACACCCATTTTTCTTTGTGTCTCTGTGTGTTGCCTACAGGCCACGATTCTTAATGGGTCGTCTTTGAACATGGGATATGTATTCCTTGTAGCTTAAGGACGACAACTGCATGTTCCGACCCCCAGGGACAGAGCCAAGCCCAATTTTTGTGTTTATCGTTTACAGGCCGCAATTCTTGGCATATGTATTCCTTATCGCCTAAGGGCGTCAACAATTGATTTTGGTGAATGCCCGACCCCCAGGGGCAGAGCCACGCCCAATTTCTGCCTTTAGCGCCCGAAGGCCACAATTCTGAATGGATTATCTTGGAACATGGTATACTTATTCCTTATACCCTATTGATGTTGGTGCACGACCCCCTCCTCCACCCCACCCCCTGCCCTTTCGGTGGTGCCACACCCACTTTTTGTTGATATTTTGTCTGTAAATTATATACAGGTTGCAATTATCAACAGATTTGGATCCAATTCGGAATTGTACCTATATATATATATTGGTCCATGTCCAACCCCCAGGAGTAGAGCCATGGCCAATTTCTGTGTTTTTGTCTACAGGCTGGAATTCCAAATGGATCATCTTGGAACTTTGCATATTTATTCCTTATACTGTAAGGATATAGTAGCTATTTATTTTGGTGCATGTTCCGACCCCCAGGGGTGTGGTACCACACCCACCTTTTTGTTAGTTTTTATCGGTAAATACTCTACAGGTTGCAATTATTAACAGATTTTGTTCAAATTCAGTATATCAATCTTTTCAATAACAGGGTGGTACCTATTGATATTGTTCTATATCCAACCCCCAGCGGCAGAGCCACGCCCAATTTTTGTATTTATCGTCTACATGCTGCAATTCTGAATGGATTATCTTGGAACCTTGCATATTTATTCCTTATACCGTAAAGACAACAACTATTTATTTTGGTACATGCCCCGACCCCCCTGGGGCAGTGTCACACCCACTTTTTTGCTAATATTTTGTCTGTAAATTTGGCAACACAAACCCAACGCCTAGCCTTCTTTGCCTCTTGTCATATTACAGCCATTTCATATTTCATTCTCTTCATTTTATAAAGGACCATATCAATCAAAGCAGGAATGTGAACGTATATTGCAGCTTTAGCGATGCTCTTGTATTATGTATCTTGTATCCCGTTTTAGTAGGAGACAAGTATACTCTGTTCTGTACTTGAATATGTCTTCTTACTTATAGATTCAAAGATGACTACCGACTTTTAAATTATATAAAACACATTAAGGTTTACACTGTATATCTTTTGAAATCCGTGATACTAGCCCACTCTTCGGGTATCAATCAATTTAGCTAGTTCCGACATTACGTTTGATTATTTGTATATTGTACTCTGTCCCTGGGTCCTTATTTCCTTGACCAAAGCCTACCACTTGTACTGGAATTTTTACTCTTAGCCTATAATATAATTATTGCCTTCTTAAAGTATTTCCTGAATTAGGCTCCAGAGCTCTATTTGTAATCTTGTCACCCTGTACTACAAGGGTGTTGTTTGAATCAAGCGAGAATTCCGATCATCTAACCATTTCCAAGATTACAATGACGTTTATAAATTTCTTTATTCGTATATCTACTTTGTAATTTGCACTGTTTCAACAGAAACAGCCTTTTACATTTTCAATTTATAGACTTTTTGGTTTTATTCTAATCATGTCATAATGAAATAGTAAACGAACCCGCAATGATTTTATGTAAAAGTCTGGTGTTACCTACTTAGACAACCATCAAATTGCGTCAGTATTAATTGTCGCTATATATCAATTGTTTCCGAGATAATGATATGATATGGACCACCTGCAGTTTGAACAAACTGTTACATGTAAGAACCAATTATTTGTAATCAAATAACGGTGGAAGAATTATCATGGGAACGATTTTGTTATGATCTCGTATTAAAAAACGGTAAATCGACACTATGTTTTTAGATAAATGACGAGAATAATAGACCCTTAGGATTTGGTATTTTATCGAAATTATCGTCGCCAGTAGTACTTAATTACAAGGGGATTTAGAAGTTCCCGATTCGTCAAATAAAATGTGGTATCAGAATATGTCTTATGTACTGCACCTTTTACTATTTTAGTGAATATCTGAAAATTGCTTGCCCCATCCCAATTGCCCGAGCGTTGGAGACTACGATTGAAGAAGCACTAGGTTAATGCAAATCGGAGGACGAATCATTTTTTTTTAATTTGAAAATACTACGAAAATTTGAATATTACGAATATTAGAATAACCTCCAAATAACCCATGTTAAAAAAACCTTTCAATTGGATCCCAATTCAAAAAGTATACGACTTTGTGAGTTGCAGGTAAAATTACCTGCGATCTTCGTTATAGCGCTTTAATAAACATACCCCTTTAACATTTTCTGTATACTGAAAATAAACTCTTTTGTAATGTCTTTAAATTCTTCTTACAATAACCTCCACCATACCGTTGGCACAAAAGTTGCTCACGTAATCAATTTTAGAAATTCCGACCCCTGCTACTTTGTGAAATGGACAATTAATAGAGCAGAATGCATTTGGGAAACTTGGTCCATCATATTACAATAAACACAGACCTTGGTAAGGATTAGGTTCTAGACACGGTCAATCACAGCAATAAAAATATAATCTTGTAATTGACGTAGTCCTATTGTTTGTCTATTATTGGAAATCTGATTAAAAATCGGAATCTCGGGTCGTTGTTTTTGTTCGTGACAAAATGAAGTGGAAGGGATTACATCTCGCGTTTAAAAGTCTGTACTATTTAATAAAGAATGGCGTAGATCTAGCTTCTAGTTTTCATCACGTTAATTGTTACTAGTTTTAGGCGTTAAGCGGATCAAGTCGCTGACAAGAAAGTCTAGGCATCGCGTGACGGCCAAAATGTAAAACGTGTTTATAGAGATTCTACTCAAGAATTAAAATAACATCTTTTCCTCCGATCTGGATATAAAATAATATCATATTATTTCATAATTATTTGCCAACGGAAAACAGGGCCAGTTAAAAATAACATGCAATGTCTGCAAATAGCTTATGAAATCTTCATTTCACAATTTATCCAAACCTTTTTACTTAATGAACACAAAAAACATCCTTGTTTAAAAAAGACTAGATAGAGTATACAACATTCAGATAATACATGACCTGATTGGATAATATTTATGTTCATGTATTATTCAAATGATTATTAATATTGCCTTCCTAGTGTTAAATGTATTATGTTGACTGCGAGTAAACAATTCTTATATTGCTATATTATGTTTCAGTACCACTTAAAAATTGCTTTTAACTCAATGCTTTAAAGATTCCTTTCCATATACAAACTGTGTGATTTGATGATATATTTGGATTGGAAACATGATCAAACTAAATATAACTTATCTATCAAACGTTTGCTTCACATCTCTCTCAAAACACTTTAATCGGAAGGATCTACCAAAGCCGTAACAATCCATTTTAAGCAGCCTTGTTTTTCACATG